AGAGGCCGGGTCTGTGCCTCGGGGGGCTTCCCGCGGCTCCCTGTGCACCCCGACATGGCAGTGCCCGTGCCAACCGGTCCATGGCACGGAGGGGGCACCTGAACGCCCCTCAAGGTTGTGACACGCCACCAGATTCACCCGTAAATCCTGCACTTCCACGGATTTGTGCATCCCCAAACTCTGCATCCCTGCATCCTGCACCCCCAAACTCTGCATCCCTGCACTTTCCTGGGGCCCCTGCACCCCCAGATCCTGTCCCCCCGTATCCTGCACCCCCAGATCCTGCACCTCCCGGGGTCTCTACCCCTCAACCCAGGTCTCCCCCATCCCACCGTGCCAGGACCCCGTGGGGTACCCCCACCCGCCGTGGGGTGCCCGGAGTGTCGGGGGACACGCATGTCACCCCATCCCTGCCCTTGCCATGCCGTACACCCCCCCGGTGCACCCCCTGCACCCCTCAACTGCACGGGGGATGCAGTTTGCATTTCTCTCCCCTGTCACTGCTCCCGGGGCAGGAGGCAGCGGAGGGGCGGTGGGGCCGGTGCCCGGTGCCCGGTGCCCGGTGCCCGGTGCCGGTGCCGTGGCCGTGCCGCGTGACGCTCGCCCCGCTTCCCGGCCGGCGCCTGCGTGCCGAGGGTTTATTTTTACTCGGGGCTGGAGCCTTGTTTACCTTGTTGAACCTTTTCCAGGAAAAGGGGGGTGGGGGGTGTCTCCGCCGGCAGCGGGGGTTCGCTCCTGCACATCCCCCCTTGGCCCCCAGGCCGGACACCGGGGGCTCACACGGGACAGGACCCCCCGCCCTGCACCCCCAGCCCCGCTTGGACACCCCCAGACCCACCGTGGGGCTGCAGCTGCCCTGTGGGTTTGGGGACACCGGGTCTGGCTGTGTCCCCGTGTCACCCTGCACACATGGAACCTCAGTTTCTCCACCCGCAACTTTGGGGGTCAACCAGTGGTGCCACCCAATTTGGGGGTCCTGCACCCCTGACCCCCCTTTCATCCATCCCCACTGACGGCACGGGGGGGGGAAGAGTGGGGCAGGACCCCCAGTGCTGCTGTGGGGGCCAGGAGAGTACTTGTGGGGTTGGGGTTTGGGGGGCTTTGGGGGTGTTTTCCTGCAGCGAGCAGCCCTGGCTCGGCCCCTGGCTCTTGGCTGGGGCAGCAGCTCCCGCTGCCAGAACAGTCCTCCCTCCCCGGGAACGGGAAAAAATCGGGTAAACAAGGCATTCCTGGCCCCGGGCGGGGCACCCCGCGGCAGGTGGGGGCACCCCGAGACAGGCGGGGACACCCCGTGGTGTGCTGGCACTGCAGACCGCTGCTGGGGTGCGGAGACCCCAGGAAGTGCAGGGTCTGGGGGGGGTCAAGGTTTGGGGGTACAGGGACCCCCCCCCAGGAGGGTGCAGGATTGGGGGGAGCAGGAGTGCACAGATTCGTGGACGTGCGGGATTTCGGGATGAATGCACCCCGGGAGGTTGCAGGGACCCCAAAGGAGTGCAGATCAGGGGGTGCAGGGACCCCAGGAGGATTCAGGGGTGCAGAGCCACAGGAAAGGTGCATTGGGATAAAATTTGGGAGTGTCAGGACCCCAGGAACGTGCGGGGGCCCAGAAATTGGGGTGACACTGTGACATGGGGGTGCAAAAGGGGTGCAGGACCCCTGAGGGTGGGGGGACCCCAATGTATTCATGATGTGGGGGGGTCTGGGGAGGACCCCCCAAAGGGAGCAGCCATGGCACGTGAGGATCCCTCTCACCTGCCCCCACCCCCCCAAAACCCCACGTGCCGATGTTTGTGTTCCCTCTGCAGCCTTGGGACCCCACGGGGGAGGGGGCGGGACAGCACCGGGAACTCCTTCAGCCTCCAGACCCACCACCGGGGAACCCTCCCCCCCTTTTCCCCTTCCGCCGTCACCCCGCGTTTGACCTTCCCAAAAGTCAAAAGCGTGAGGAAGTGGGGAGGGGGCCACCCCGTTAGCGCCCCCCCTTCCCCAACCCACAGGTCACAGAGAGGCCACGGAGTCGTGGCCAGCGGCCGGGCTGGCATCTGTGCCAGCCCATGTCAGCGGGCTCCCTCCTCCTCCTCCTCCTCCTCTTCCTCCTCCTCCTCCTCTCGCGGGGAGCCCTCTCCCTGCGCGTCACGTGGCGCTGGCATGTGCGCCCTGCTCCATTTTTAGCCCCAGCAGCTCCGTGCTGCAGAGCCATGTGCGGGCGGGCCCGGCCGGCACGTGGGGCTGCCGCAGCGGCACCGGCACCGGCACCGGCACCGGCACCGGCACCGGCACCGGCACCGGCACCGGCACGGCGGGGACACGGCGCCCCCCGTGTGTGCGGATACGGAGTTGTGTGTGTGTGTGTGAGCACTGTCATGTGTGTGATTATGGTCATGTGTGTGTGTGTCTGTGAACACGGCTCTTTGTGTGTGCGAGCACTGTCATGTGTGTGATTATGGTCGTGTGTGTGTCTGTGAACACGGCTCTGTGTGTGTGCGAGCAGTGTCGTGTGTGTGAACATGGCTTTATGTGTGAGCACTGTCATGTGTGTGATTATGGTCATGTGTGTGTGAACATGGCTCTGTGTGTGTTTGAGCACTGTCGTGTGTGAACATGGCTCTGTGAACATGGTTATGTGTGTCTGTGAGCACTGTTGTGTGTGAACATGGTCATATATGTGTGTCTGTGAACATGGCTCTGTGTGTGTTTGAGCACTGTCATGTGTGTGAATATGGCTCTGTGTGTGAACGTGGTTATGTGTGTCTGTGAGCATTATCATGTGTGTGAATGTGGTAATGTGTGGGGGTCTGTGTGTAACAGTTCTGTGTATGTGAGCACTGTCATGTGTGTGAACATGCTCATGTGTGTGAACATGCTTGTGTGTGTGTCTGTGAACAGGGCTCTGTGTGTTTGAGCACTGTTGTGTGTGAACACGGTCATATGTGTGTGTGTAACATGGCTCTGTGTGTTTGAGCACTGTCGTGTGTGAACACAGTCATATGTGTGTGTGAGCACTGTTATGTGTGTGAACACGGTCACATGTGTGTGTGTCTGTGAACATGGCTCTGTGTGTGTTTGAGCACTGTCATGTGTGTGAATATGGCTCTGTGTGTGAACGTGGTTATGTGTGTCTGTGAGCATTATCATGTGTGTGAATGTGGTAATGTGTGGGGGTCTGTGTGTAACAGTTCTGTGTATGTGAGCACTGTCATGTGTGTGAACATGCTCATGTGTGTGAACATGCTTGTGTGTGTGTCTGTGAACAGGGCTCTGTGTGTTTGAGCACTGTTGTGTGTGAACACGGTCATATGTGTGTGTGTAACATGGCTCTGTGTGTTTGAGCACTGTCGTGTGTGAACACGGTCACGTGTGTGTGTAACATGGCTCTGTGTGTTTGAGCACTGTCGTGTGTGAACACAGTCATATGTGTGTGTGAGCACTGTTATGTGTGTGAACACGGTCACATGTGTGTGTGTAACATGGCTCTGTGTGTTTGAGCACTGTTGTGTGTCAGCGTGGTTACACGTGTGAATGTAGCTCTGTGTGTGTGTGTGCAAACATAGCTCTGTGTGTGTGTGAGCACTGTCATGTGTGTCAGCATGGTCACATGTGTGTGAACATGGCTGTGTGTATCAACACGGTCATATGTGTGAGCACAGCTACACATGTGTACCGCCAGGTTATGAAAATGAGAACAGCCATGTGTGTGTGTGTGAAAGTGACCACCATGTGTGCAACCATGGCTCTGTGTGTGTGTGAGAATGGCCACACACGTGTGTAAACACAGATGTGTGTGCGCACAGACATGCAGAGGGACAAGGACACGTGTAAACACAGATTTGTGTATGTGTGTGTGAGCACAGCCATGCAGGGGGACAAGGACATGTGTAAACACAGATGTGTGTGTATGTGTGTGTGAGCACAGCCATGCAGGGGGACAAGGACATGTGTAAACACGTGTGTGTGTGTGTGAGCCATGCAGGGGGACAAGGACATGTGTAAACACAGATGTGTGTGAGCCATGCAAGAGGACAAGCACTGCCACCCCTGTGGGTGACCACAGCCACATGTGTTGATGTCCACAATCACACGGGGGGGGACAAACACAGCCCCCCCCGTGTCTGAACAACACCCCCACGTGTGCACACGCCGCTGGGCACAGCTGCTGGCAGGGCTCGGTGTGCCCCGCGGCACAGCAGGAACCTCGGAGGGGCTTCCCCAGCGCCACACCGCGGGGGTGGCACTGCCACTGTCACCCGGGCACCAGGAGCAGGGCGCTGGGTGAAGGGGGACGTCCCCCCCGCGCGTGTTTGTGTGTCCCTGAGCGCAGCTCTGCAGAGAGAGCCGCGTCCCCCACGTGTCCCCCGTGCGTCCCCAGCACGTGCCACGCGTGTCCCCTGTGTGTCCCCGGTGACACGGCCCCGTGTGCTGCGGGGGGGGTGGAGTTTCAGCCGGGAGAGGGGGAAATGATCCTCCGCGTGTGTGTGTGTGTACGTGTACATACATGTCCGTGCATGCCCGTATGTGTGCCGTGAGGCTGTGTGTGCGCATACATGCGCACGAGTGTGCATACATGTGCACGAGTGTGCATACATGTGCACGAGTGTGCAGAGTGCGCTCCGGGACTGCAGTCGGGGGTGCTGTGCATGGGCTGCAGCGTCTGCGGGCTGCGCCTGTGCTGCAGCGGGGGCTGCGGTCGCTCCCTGCAGCGGGGGGGGGACACGCGTGTCCGTGTGCCAGCGAGTGTGCCGGGGCTGCGGCCTCTGCAGAGGACACGTGTGTGTTTGTGTGTGTGTGCGTGTCTATGTGTGTGCGTTCCTGCACGCGTGCAGCAGGACCCGCAGAGCTCTGAGTGTGCACGGGGGGGTTTAATTCCCATGATGGGGGGGGTGCGGACCCCCAGAATCACAGCACAGCCCCCCAGCCAGGCTGGTAGCGGTGTCCCTTTGGGTCGCCCCTCCGTGTCCCCTCCCGCCACGGGACCGGCCGGTGACCCGAGCCCCCCCCCCCCGGAGCCGGGGAAGCGGCGGCCCGCGGCCCGCGCAGCGATGGGCGCCGGCGGAGGGTCGCCCGGGCAGGCCGCCTGCCTGCGGCAGATCCTGCTGCTCCAGCTGGACCTGATCGAGCAGCAGCAGCAGCAGCTGCAGGCCAAGGAGCGGCAGATCGAGGAGCTCCGGGCCGAGCGCGACACGGTACGGCGCGGGGAGGACTCCCAAGGGGTGACCCCCCCCCGCCATGGGGTGACCCCCGCTAGATTTAACCCCCCCATAAGTTTAACACCCCTCCCGTAGAGTGATACCCCCCTCCCCTCGGGGTTAATGGCTCCCCAACACCACCCGGGGGTCCCTGGGGTTGTGGTGGAATTCTGCCCACCAACAGGAAAGTTCTCACTCCCCCTGACACCCAAGGGGTTAATGCTCCCCCCCACTTTTTGGGGGTTAATACCCCTTTCTTTGGGGGTTAATACCCCACTCTTTGGGGGTTGGTTTCACTTCTCTTTTTTTGAATTCCGTCCCCTCAATGCTTAATTTACCCCCCTTGTTTGGGGTAATACCCCCTTTGTTGGGGTAATACCCCCCTTTTTGGGGGTTGATTTCACTCCTCTTTTGGGGGTGGGTTCCATGCTTTTTTGGGGGTTAATGTGCCCCCTTTGGGTATTAATTCCACCACTTAATTGGGGGTTAATTCTGCACCCCGTGGGAGTTAATGCCCCCCACTTTTGAGGGTTAATTCTGTGCCCCTCTTTGGGGTCAATGCCCCCCCCCCACACACACTTTTTGGGGGTTAATTCCACCTCTTTTGGGGGCTTAATTCCATCCCGTTGGGGGTTAATTCTGCACCCCATGGCTGTTAATGCCCCCCTGTTTGAGGGTTAATTCTGCACCCCTCGAGGGTTATTCCCCCCCTTTTTTGGGGGGGGTTAATGTCCCCCCCCAGGGGTTAACGTCCAACCGCCGTGTCACCCTAGGGTTTATGCACCCCCTCGGGGGTTGATGTGCCCCCCATGGCAGTTAACCTGCTCCCCCCGTGGCACCCCAGGGGTTAATCCCCCCCCGGCTGTGCGTTGCTCTTCTCTCCCCGTGGCACTGCAGGGGTTAATCCCCCCCTTTTTGAGAGCACAAAGGGCGGGGGCGGGGCGGGGGTTAACGGGGCCGCCGCCCGTTACCGTGGCGACCGGGCGGGGGGGGCCTTAAAGGGGCCGCGGCACCGCCGGGAGGGACACGGCGCTGCGGCTGGGGACAGCTCGCTGCTCCCGCCACCCCGGGGGTTTTGGGGCGCTCACAGCCTCGAGGGGCTGGCAGGCTTTAGGGGGACGCTGTGGGGTCACCGCAGCTGAGCTGTGCTCCTCCCTCCTTGGGGGGGTGGGCGATAATGCCCCCCTCCCCAGAAGGTTAAACCCTCCGCAGGGTGAGCCCCCTCCCCACCCCGCGGGGCTCAGCCAGCCGCAGGGCCGGGCTCCCCCTCGGGGGTCGCGGGTGCCCCTCGGGGGTCGTTTAGGGGGACGCTGTGGGGTCACCGCAGCTGAGCTGTGCTCCTCCTCCCCCCCCCTTCTCCATGTGTGTCCCATGTGTGTCACCCCAGACATGTCATCTGTGTCCCCACCATATGTAGCCTACATGTATGTCCCCCCCCAAATTTTCCTGCCTGCGTTGTCCCGCCATGGGTGTTGTGTCACCCCACGGATGCCAAATGTCACCCCCCTGGCAGCCCTGTGGCCGTGTGCCAGCTGCAGTGGCGGTGTCAGCAGTGGTGGCCCCGCGTGTGGCAGGAAGGACGGGGACACCCCACGTGGTGCCACCGCAGGCAGTGCCGCGTCCCCCAACGTGGAGGAGCCACTGCGGCAAGTCCCTGATGGCACCTGAGGGGCTGCCCCCTGGGCTCAGCCTCCCCGGGGTGGCACTGCTGGGGACATGGCACTGCCACACCCTGGCTGTGCTCCCAGAGCTGCGTCCCCCCACAGCCACACCTTTTTGGGGTGCTGGGACCCCCACCCTGCTCTCCAAAACCAGTGCAGACCCTGGCTCTGGGGATGGCTGGGGACAGGTGGCCATGGGCAGGGGTCACCAGGTGCTTTTGAAGCCCACAAGCTTAAATGGAAGCTTTTTAATTCCAACTCCATCCTGCATCCTGGGGAGGATACACAGAGGGTGGGACCCCCAAATCCTCTGGTTTCGGCTGCCCCATCTCTGGAAGTATTCAGGGCCATTTTGGAACAACCTGGGATAGTGGAAGATGTCCCTGCCCGTGGTAGGGTACGGGACTGGGCTTTAAGGTGCATTCCACCCCAAACCATTCCTGCGTTCTTCGATGTGCTGAAATCCCCCCTCAAGCTGAGGTCTGCGGGAGGAGCAGACACAGAGTGGCCATTTTGTGCCGTCAGACACGCAGGGGCAGCTGCCCCGGGGTGCCCAGGGGGGTGACCCCAGCCCCAGGTGAGCCCTCCCTCCCCTGCCCTGCAGCTCCTGGCGCGGATCGAGCGCATGGAAAGGCGGGTGCAGCTGGTGAAGAAGGACAGCGAGCGGGAGAAGCACCGCATCTTCCAGGGCTTTGAGGTGGATGAGAAGCCCGAGGCAGAGGCGTGTGAGAAGCTGCCTCTGGAGTGTCCCCAGGACCTGCTGGAGCCTCCCCCGACCCTGCAGCCCAAGCACTTCCCCTACGGCAGGAACGGGAAGGGCCATAAAAGGTACAGGGTGCTTGGGGGGGCTTGTGGGGAGAAGGGGGGACACTCCCTGTGGCTTCACCCTCTGTTTGTGGGGCTGGCACTGCCCAGCAGCCTTTGAGAGGGCCACCCAGCACCAGCAACACATCCCTGTGTCGAGGAGAACCCCAAGAAAGCCTCAGGGTGCCAAAATCCCGGGGAAGCTCCTCTGTTAACTGCTCAAGTCTGGCCCTGGTGCAGCAGCCCTGGTTTGGGGGTACCAGGAGCCCCCCACAGCATCCCTGGAGCAGGGTGAGGGTCCACGTGCCTGCCTCAGCTCTTCTTCCTCCTGCAGGAAGCCAACATTTGGGAGCACGGAGAGGAAGACGCCTGTTAAGAAGCTAGTGTCAGAATTCTCCAAAGTGAAGAGCAAAACTCCAAAACACTCCCCGGGGAAGGAGGAATCGGGCGGCTCCTTGGCTGAAACTGTTTGTAAACGAGAACTGCGGAGCCAAGAGACTCCGGAAAAACCCCGGGCGCTCCTGGAGACCCCTCTGAGGGCATCAGCCCCACCCAAGGGTCCTGGCACCCACCCCAAGGAGAAGGGATTTGTCAGCGAGGCCGACGACCTGCCCTACCTGTCCACCACAGAGATGTACCTGTGCCGCTGGCACCAGCCGCCCCCGTCGCCGCTGCCGCTGCGGGAGCCTTCCCCCAAAAAGGAGGAGACTGTAGCAAGTAAGGGCGGAGGGAATGGTGGAGGAGCTGCTGGGCTGAGCCAGCCTTGGGAGCTGACTCGTTCTGAGTCTGGGAAAAGGCTGCCACGTTCCCAAAGGGAGTGCCCGAGGTGCCATGCTGCTGGCTCCTTCCACTGCGGTGGGTGCTGGCTCTGGGCTCTCCCAAATCTCATCTTGGGCTCACCCTGCTCTGGGCAGGGCTGCTGGCTGTTGGAGCAGCTTCCCGTGGGCGGGTGGGAAATGTGTCTCTGGCTCATGCCATGGTGACACAGCACCGGGGTCACCTGCTGTCCCCAGATCCATCCTTGTCCTGCCGTGAGCCCAGCTGGTGCCAGTGATTGGAGCTGGGCTGTGCCAGGTGGCTCGGACAGAGCCTGGCACATCCCTGGGAGTGGCTCAGGTTCGTGTGGCCAAGGGCGTGGGGATGAGCTCTGCTGTCCCGTGTCAGCTCCCACTGCCAGCTCAGGGTGGGGATTTGGGGCACGCCAAGCCGTGCTCCAAGGGGAGGGATTGGTGGAGCAGGGGCTCCTGTGGGGATTCTGCTGTGGGGTAACACCCTTCTCCTTGTGCTGCAGTTCCATCTTGGAGGGACCATGTCGTGGAGCCCCTGAGAGACCCCAACCCTTCAGACATCCTGGAGGTACGTGAGCCATCGCTGCTGGCAGTGCCACAGGGGCTCGCCAGGCTGTCCCACACCCCCAGAGCTGCTGGCATCTCATCCCCTCATCCAGCATAAACCCCACGTGTGGCTGGGAGGCTGAGGTGGGGGATGCTGCACTGATCCCAGTCCTGTGTCCTTGCAGAACCTGGACGACAGCGTCTTTTCCAAACGGCACGCCAAGCTGGAGCTGGATGAGAAACGAAGGAAAAGGTTGGAGCAACGGGGGTCTGCAGTCCCAGTCTCACAGGGGAGGGTCCTGGGGTGTCACCTGGAGCAGGGGGCAGCTGGGATGGGCACCAGGAATGCTGCAGGAGGAGGATGGGATGGAGGAGGGAGAAGGATCCCCTCTTGAAGGAGGGATGCTCTCACATCACTGGCAGTCAGTGCAGCCTCATGATCACCTTGGGGGAGTCTGGCATTGCCCGTGGCTCCTCACTTTGCCCTCCATCCTGTTTTCCAGGTGGGACATCCAGCGGATCAGGGAACAGAGAATCCTGCAGCGGCTGCAGCTCCGAATGTACAAAAGGAAAGGGATTCAGGAGTCAGAACCTGAAGTTACCTCATTTTTCCCTGAGCCAGATGATGGTGAGGCTTGGGAAGGGGGTGTCGGGGGTATGGGGGTACACGTGAGGGGTCTCACACACTCTGGTGTCTCCCCACAGTGGAAAGTTTGCTCATCACCCCTTACCTGCCCGTCGTCGCCTTCGGCCGGCCCTTGCCCAAACTGACCCCACAGTGAGTACTGGGGGCAGCAGGGGATGGGGCTGGGGGGTCTCTGGGGCCCGTTTTGGCTCGGGATGGTGACACCAGCTGTGCCCACAGGAACTTTGAGCTGCCCTGGCTGGACGAGCGCAGCCGCTGCCGGCTGGAGGTGCAGAAGAAGCAGACACCACACCGGACCTGTCGGAAATGAGGGAGATGCTGGGAGCTCCAGGCACCCCCAGGAGCTCCAGCCACCTCCAGGAGCTCCAGCCACCCTGTCCTGGTGGGGCTCTGGGCACCTCAAGGGCAGCAGGAGCTCTGCCATGCCCGGCTCGCCAGCAGCCGCTGCCCCGCTCCGTGCTGACGGATGGTTTCGTTCTTCTGCCATCCCAGTTTTGTTCGTTTGGGTTTTGGAACGTTTCCCGGACTCGTCCCCCGCGCTGGCACCGCCTTCCCAGTGCCACCAGCCTGCAGCTCCACTCCTGGGGGCAGCGGGTGCGTCCCAGCCCCGTCCCCGAGCCCCCCGTATGCCACCCCTGCACTCCACAGCCTGTGGCCTTGGCATCCGGGGCTCTCCCGTGCCCGCCGGGAGCACGGGCATCGCCGGATCTGGGGGTGCCACGTCCCCCGGGACTCGCCCGCTGCTGCTGCCTTCACGTTGTGTTTAGTTAGAAAGCAGGACAAACAGCGGGCTGGGCTGGAGCCAGCCTGGGATTCTCTTCTGGGAGGTTTTCCCCCCCTTCTTTGGTGGTTTTCCTCTCCGGAGCGGGGTTGGCGGGGGCAGAAGGGAGAGTTAAAAAAGCAAAAATTCTCTTTTTTTTTTTTTTTTTTTTTTTTTGTGAAATAGAAACCCTGTGCGCACAATTTGGGGGGTTTTAATGCTTTTTTTTAAAAAATGTAATTTAAGTGTTCTGAGGCGGGTGAGGGGTTTGCTGTGAAGGGGGGCGATTATTGCCTGTCCCAGCCCCTGGGTGCTGCATGGGTGGGGAGGGGCTCCACGTGTCCCCTTTTTCCTCTTTTTTTCTCTGTTTTTTCTCCCTTTTTTTCTCTGTTTTTTCTCCCCATCTCCCTTTTTCCTCCTGTCTCCCCCCATTTTCCTCACCTTCCCCCCCCTTTTTTCTATTTTTTTCCTCCTTTTTGCCCCAATACACTGAGGCCTGTGCCCCCCGAGGGGTTTGCTGTGAAGGGGGGCGATTATTGCCTGTCCCAGCCCCTGGGTGCTGCATGGGTGGGGAGGGGCTCCACGTGTCCCCTTTTTCCTCTTTTTTTCTCTGTTTTTTCTCCCTTTTTTTCTCTGTTTTTTCTCCCCATCTCCCTTTTTCCTCCTGTCTCCCCCCATTTTCCTCACCTTCCCCCCCTTTTTTCTATATTTTTTCCTCCTTTTTGCCCCAATACACTGAGCCTGTGCCCCCCCACTCTTTTTCCCCACTGCCCCCTCTCTCTAATTAACCCCGAGCTAATTGAACGCCAGAAAACTCGTTTACAAAAAAAAAAAAAAAAAAACTTAGAAAGAAAAAACGTTAAGAAAAAACAAACTTAAAAAAAAAAACAACTTAAAAAACCCGGAAATTGTTAAAAAAAAAATCGATAAAAGTTCTAAAACCACCGAGTTCTAACAAACGTTGCGGGAGGGGGTGGGGTCGCTCGCGGACACGCCCGCTCTCTGGTTTTTATTTTATTATTTTTTATTGCTTTTCGTTGTTGGTTTTTTTTTTGGTTTTGTTTTGTTTTTTTACAATAAACAAGGAAAAGGCCGCTGGGTGCTGGTGTTTCCCCCCCCATACTTACCCGCGTTCGGGCGTGACGTCACTTCCGCGGGGAGGCCGTGACGTCATTGCGGCGCGCGGCGCGCGCCCCCTGGCGGGTCTGAGGGGGCGGAGAGAGGAGTTCTGGATTCTGAGGAGGGTGGAGAGAGGGGTCCTGGTTTCTAGGGAAGGCTGAGAGAGGGGTTCTGGTCTTTGAGGGGGGCTGAGAGAGGGGTCCTGGATTCTGAGGGGGGCTGAGAAAGGGGTCCTGGTCTGCAAAGAGGGCTGAGAGAGGGGTTCTGGTCTCTGAGGAGGGTTGAGAGAGGGGTTCTGATTTCTAGGAAAGGCTGAGAGAGGGGTTCTGGATTTTGAGGGTGCTGAGAGAGGGGTTCTGGTCTCTGAGGAGGGCTGAGGGAGGGGTCCTGGTCCCTTTGAGGGGGGCTGAAAGAGGGGTTCTGGATTCTGAGGAGGGTGGAGAGAGGTGTCCTGGTTTCTAGGAAAGGTTGAGAGAGGGGTTTTGGTATTTGAGGGAGGCTGAGAGAGGGGTCCTGGGTTCTGAGGGGGGCTGAGAGAGGGGTTCTGGATTTTAAGGGGGGGCTGAAGGATGGGTTCTGGTCTCTTTGAGGGGTTAAGAGAGGGGTTCTGGTCTTTGAGGGGGGCTCAGAGAGGGGTCCTGGTCTGCAAAGAGGGCTGAGAGAGGGGTTCTGGTCTCTGAGGAGGGTTGAGAGAGGGGTTCTGATTTCTAGGAAAGGCTGAGAGAGAGGTTCTGGTCTCTTTGAGGGGGGTTGAGAGAGGGGTTCTGGTCTCTTTGAGCATGGCTGAGGGAGGGGTCCTGGTCTTTAAGAAGAGATGAGAGAGGGGTTCTGGTCTCTAAGGGGGGCCTTGGGGACGAGTGGGAAGGCTGGGGGTGGTCTCTGTTGTTGGGGGGACACTGGGGACAAAGTGGGGGGTGGAGAGCTGAGGGAGCACCAGTCTGGGGAATTGGGGGAATTGGGGTGAACCCCCCATGATGTGTGGGGGGGAGCTCGGGTGGGGTGGGCTCTGCAGCCCCCCAGGACCAGGCAAGGGGCTTTGCTCTGGCTCCCTGTGCCTGGATCTCTCCAGTCTGAGATGCTGTCCCTGTCCTTGGGGTGCTGTCCCTGCTCCTGGGGTGCTGTCCCTGTCCTTGGGGTGCTGTCCCTGCTCCTGGGGTTCTGTCCCTGGGGTGCTGTCCCTGCTCCTGGGGTCCCTGCAGCAAGGGCAGGGGTGTGTGGGTGCTGCTGTCTCCCCCCACCATGCAGCTCTGTTCTCGCAGTTCACATCCAGGTGCAATTCCCTGCTGGTTTGGGTTCTGATTGTGGTTATTTCCAGCTCTTTCCTGTTTTAGGTTCCAGGGCTGGCTATTTCCAGCTCCCCCTGACTGCCTGGGTGTTTTTCTGTGGTGGTTTGGGGTTTATCTTGTCACCTTGGTCGGGTTGTTTGTGCTCTGGGGTTGTTTGTTCTGTACAGCTGGGTGGATCTTTGTGTTTATGCTGGAATCATGGAATGGTTTGGTTTGAAAGGAGCCTTAAAGCTCATCCCGTTCCACCTTCTACCATGAGCAGGGACACTTTCCACTATCCCAGTTTAATCCAAGCCCTGTCCAGCCTGCCCTTGGACACCCAAGGATGGGGCAGCCACAGCTTCTCTTGGGCAGCAGTTTTACTGAGCACTTTTGCTGCTCTGAGCTGTTGGCTTCTTCCAGCCCCTTCCCTGAGCTGGGTCCTGCTCAGCCTCTCTTTGTTATTCCCTGTTCTTGCCCTTTCCCTGGCTCTTGGTTGCCAAGGGAGGGATCCTGGCTCCCCTGTCACTGTCACACTGTTCCCTGGAGAGCCCCAGCACTGGCAGGCTGTGCTTTGCTCTCCATATTCCCTACTGTAGCTGCTCTAGAAGGTTCTTGGAGCCTTAGAAAGGCTCTGGGAGTCTGGAATTTGTTTTTTCTTGGTCGCAGGAGCTGAACTTCCAAGGGTGGATGCTATAGGGTCAGGGTCAGACCTTGCTGTTACCTTGTGTGGGATCATGGGATGCTGGGTATTAGGGAAAAGGGACATTAGGACAAAAGAACAGCTGTTAGGAAAAGGTATTAGGATAGTAGATACTAAGAAAATATGTTCTGAGGGAATTTTTTTTTTTATGGAAGGGGTGGTCAGGCACTGGCCCAGGCTGCCCAATTCCCTGAAGTGTACAAAAAGTGTGGATGTGGCTTCTGGGGACATGGTTTAGTGGTGACATGGGGCTGTGCTTGTTGAAGGTTGGACTTGATCTTAAAGACCTTTTCCAATCTAAACAATTCCATTATTCTGTGGTTTTGTGAATCCATGATTCCATGTTGCTAGGACCTGGCTGCTGCCCTCCCCTCCTCTAACACCCCTCACTTTTCTCTCTTTGCAGGAAAGTGAGGATGGCATTGAAGGAGATGGTGAGTGATGTCTCTTGGGCAGGGTTCTTTGTGTGCAAAAAAAGTAAAAACCAGACAAAACAGCTTTTCCAACAATCCTGTGGTTGTTGCCATGCCAGATATTCACTTGTAAACAGCAGGCAAATGTGGGGTACAGGGACAGGGTCCCAAACTCTTCCCTGCTCCCCTCAGCTGGCTGTGGCATTGATCCAGGGTGGTGCTGGCATCCAAATTCCCTTTGGGAAGGGGTTTGGTGCCATGGCAGAGGAGCCACGTCCAGCCCTGCCCTGACCCCACCTCCTTTCCCTCCCCACAGCCGTGCTGTCTGACTACGAAAGCGCCGAGGACTCGGAGGTAAAGCTGATCTCTGTCCTGCTGAGCCCCTGATTCCCATGAAATTTCAGCACAAACCCAGTTTGTGTCCTTGGATCTCTTCCTCTGTCTCCTGAGGAAATGGCCTCCCCCACTCCCAGCCCTTGGCACTGGGACCAGTGTCTCTGTGCTGCTGGGGAGGGTGCAGGGCCAGCATGTGCAAGGGAAAACCCTCCTGGCTCCTCGCACTGGGAACTGGATTTGCCATGGCCAGGAAGGGCGTGGGAGGAGTGTGGGATGCTTGTTGGGTTTTAATTAGTTGGAATTCAAAAGCAAAGTGGTGGTTGGGAGCATCCCAGGGGCTTCCCTCTGTTCTGAGGGAGCAGCCAGAGGGGGGATGCACTTTGGGAATTGCGGGGTGCTGAAGGAATCCCATCCCACCCCTGCCTGGGGGCTGCAGGTTCCCCTGGATTTTTAGTTCAGAACTCTAAAGTTTGATATTTACAAGGAGTTTAGAGAAGTTCTGGTGTCTAAGAAGGCTTCCTAAGGAAAATCCATCTGTGTTTTGGGAGTCTTAAGGGAAACAGTGGCTAGAGACCATCCAAACCACCAGGCAGAGGAAATCCAAGCTGTGTATTTGGGAATTAATCTCAGTTTGGGAATTAATCTATGGTATTAACAAGGAAGGAGCACTGCAGGCTGCAGAGGTGTTGGGGCAGCTCCCAGAGCTCTTCCAGCCTGGAATCCCACATGGAGGCTCCCAGTGGCAGCGGGGTTGTTGCATCACTGCCTTGCCAGGATGACTCTGTTCCTGTACCTAAAAATAATGCCCAGCCTGGGCTTCCCCAGCGTAAACACCGGGAGCAGCCGATGTGCAAGGGCTGTGTTGAAAGAGGAAAATGGAGCAGGGTTTGGTTAATCACCCCGAGCTATTTTTAGTTCGGCTCCAGCCTCCGGAGGCTCCTGGGGGTGAAACCAGGTCATGCTCCTGAGCAGAGTGAGTCAGCTGAGGAACTCCAGGGAATTTGGAAACGTGGCCCTGGCTGGATCCGGGCCCTCAGTGTTGAAGGAAGGGCCTGAGATCACCAGTCTTCCCAGTCTGCAGGAGCCTTTTGGGGTGGTGGGATGTCACATCTTTGTGGGGCAGCTGATACCAGCTCCATTCCAGAAAACCTGTTGGATCCTCTCTGTCTTTGGAGAGCTTGGGTTTAAGCTTTACTTTTCCTGTAAAAACACGGGGATAGGAAGAATTTTAGGAGCTAATCATCTACTTTGGAAGAGTCATGTCTAACAGCTGGAACAGGATGTAACTCCAGAACTGAGGGAATTTCTGGGCAATCTTGCTGGATCTGACTCCAGATTTG